GAAGTCCGAGTTCCAAGGGCCAGCCTAGTCACCCAAACTGCACAAAAGGGTGGTTACAGCAATGACCGTACAGGTAGAAATTCCTAGCCCCTTGACTGAAATGATGTCTAATAAGCTCTTTGGAAAGTCCTAGATTCCCAATAACATCCAGTTCATTGAATTTGCGCTTCTTTCTACTACGGAATCCTTCACCCACCTACCCCCCCCCCCCCCTTAAGAGTTCGAGGATACTATCGCATATGCGCAGCCACGCCCATTCTATAGGAAGCTCCGCCCACAATAGCTGGAAGTAACCTCGCAGTCGTTGAGTGTACAACGCTTTGCATCCACAAAAAGGAAGCACTAAATAGCAACATTATCGTTGAGCCAGGCCGGATGAACTATCCTTTGGTGCTTTGGAAAGGCCACTTTGGATGGAGGCTGTGATTGAGTTTTTCATGCCATTATAGGTTACCCATTAGCGGACCAGTCACTGTTACTCCTGACAACACTTCGTGAAGCTCCTTTCGATAGAGAAAAATTGGGAAGATTCGGAGCTGATCCCATCCAAATGGGGTGTTTAGTGGGTCAGTGTTGAGCACTTTATAAACAACAGCTATTCTTGATGGTAACCGTAGTTGGAAACTGAGGGGGAACTGAGATCAGCTTTTTTCACAAAATCATTTTTCATTGTTTACAAAATCATTGTTTACACGTATTGTGAAGTAGATTCACAGAGGGTGCTGTAAAGAAAATTGGTAGCTGTACAAACTGGGAAGAATGAGTAGAGCAAATATTATGAGAATCTATTAGCAGAGTGAATTCCAAGACATCCGAGAAATTCAGAAAAGGCACCTTTTCGGCCAAAAAGTACGCTTACTGAGGTATAGAATCGAAAAAATCTTGAAACCGGATGGCAAAATGGGAGTGTGTGGGCCGTCGTAATTCCCTTGCCCTCGGTTTACCCTCCCAACGAACAGTGAACTAAGGGCAAGGGAAATATATTCCAAAACCTTTCTCTTTATTCGGTTCCTGAGGTCCTGCAGTAGAGTGCTAGAGTGTAAGAAGGATAATCACCTTGGCCAATGGTCCAAAACCCCAATCAGAACAAGAACGAGGCTCCATTTTGACGATTACTCGTTTTTTACTACTGTTTCTAACTTACTGTAGACACCCTTTCTACTTTGACCACTCTTTCTCCCTCATCTTATACCCCAACAAACGCCCGAGGCTCTGGGCAACGCAGTCTCTGGGAGAGGATTTCAAAAGAGCGGTCCTAGAGAGGCAGGGGCCAAAATTAAGGACAAGTCTGTGTGTGGCAGTTTAGAGGGGGGGGGGGCCACCAGTGGCTTGCAGTACTTTAAAAACAAAAATTGGCAATTGGAGTAGCTCTGACAGTTCAAACATCTCATGACAAGCATCACAAAACCGATATTGCAGTCTGGGGATGTGGTGCTACAGTATCCGAAGACAGTGAGATGAGGACACACCAGAAATCCGGGGAGCCCCAAGGCTTCCACGGCTTCCCGAAAAAAGGTGGTGGACATTCAAAACCTAGAAATGTGTAATCTCAAAACTGAGTGGCATCACAACCAGGAATCCGAGTCAAGACCCACAGCCAGATTACTGTATTGCAAGGTCCATAGATTTCAGAATCCGACAATGCAGACATCTAGCTGTAAGATAGCGTGCCGTTGAAAGAAATGGTCAAAAGGGCAGCCTGGTCAATCTGATGGTCCTGTAGCGGCTGTCAGCCGACCGTAACCATCTAACGAGCATCCAGTTCTTCATTAAAGAACCAGTCATGCATGCATGAAATACGTGTCACACGTGATTGAAAATCAAGTCATTAGTTCGCTTATTCATCCATAATCATTGAAAATGGCCATCAAAGAACAAAAAAACATCGTCGACGAGAAAATCCGACCGGTTCGTCGATGTTACCATGAATGAATCACCCAAATTCGGATTTGCACCACCGAAGAAAAACACCCAATTTTGCAGAGATATCTACAACATCTGGCAGAGTTTGCATACACGGAGGGAAGGTTTTAGCAGATCTATCCAGTGGTCAATATCCTTGTGGAACATTTATTGAGTACGTCATCCGCTACAGTGGACAAAGTCTTCACTCTTATTTGGCCCCGGTGGGCGGTTCTGGACGAGTTTCGGACGGGATTGTAGGACGAGGTGGAAGGAGGCCGTGTCTACTCGTCGAAACAAAAAAAACTCAAATTTTTTGTGTGTATTCGATTCGAACACAGCTAATTCGATGCAGTTGTGTTTGAAGGAAAAGTGCGCGTGTATTACTTCGCTCACCTCCAGATCCCTCAGTCATGGGCTACCTCCGGTGGGCGGGACTTCCTGAACGTGTTAGTTTATGCCGGCTACGTTGGAATGTTGGAACGACCTTTTGCACGGAAGTTCGCTCTAGAAAAAGCTGATCAGCGGTTCAGGAGCTAAAGTAATGGTCTCGAACAGAGGGCAGATTGAGATTGGTGCACAGGACTGACTGGGAATGGAACGGAACATGGCGAGAGAAAGAATGGGCTGACCACTTTCTCTGTTACGTAAACGTTTCTTACGAGTTTGTAGTCATCTGGGTATGTGAGACCTGGGAAAATCGTGTCATACAGGAGCACATCTTAAAGTTCAATTTTATTGAATTTTCAGTTAAAAAAAAGGAAAATCAACCAGGGATTATGATGTGGAAACAGCCTCAAGTAAAAATACGGGAACATTTCTCCGAGTAGTTGCTTCTTGGGAGCACTGGAACGGCCCCTTTTCTCTTTTGCCAAATGTGCGCCTATGTGGTTGGGACTCCCGTCGGTGGGATTAACCTCAACCCAGCCAATTGCACTATACCCAATTTACTGGACTAGTACAAGACTTTTAGAAGGGACTAGATTAAGCTTGGAGGGGGAAGTGTTCTCAGTAGACTACAGAAAAGGGGAATAGGTTACTTATTGTAGCCACTTCGATCTGATACATTCCTGCTATTTTTTGGTTTAGGTTTTTGTGTTTTTCATCCGAAGCTCATCAAACATCACCTTCTATTAAACACAGCGGAGTTTACCCATGTGGGCGCGGGTGGGTATACGCCGGATCTTACCCTGCTCAGGGAATAGTTAGGTTGGCAGGCGACGTTACTTATGATTTAGACTTTCAAAAGGAGCCCTTTCGATGAACTCGCAATGGTAAAAGCTTTAATAGAGTGAACCTAGGTAACATGCACCCTATGCAAAAAAAAACTTACAAAAAAATGCAAAAAAATATGGATGACAGAAAATCGTTCCCTTAGCAACCTTCAGTAATCTATTCGCTCAACTTCGGCCAAACAACATCACAGATCACCAATTATAGTAAAATCTAGGAACTGATC